CCAATATTTCTGTAATTATTTAGTCTACTAAGGTTTTCTACAACTTTTGAATCAATGCTTATAACTTATATTCTCCTAGAAAATAATGATAAAAGGTTAGCATTCACTATCTTTAATGAGTGCCTACAAATAAAAAAGATGGACAATCTACTTAAAAATAGACAAATGCCAAGTCTGTATAATTAACAGGAGAAAATTCAAATGACCTAATGTATGCTTTAACTTGATTGTATTTAGGATAATCATATAACCATGTTTCCCTGAGAAAGTCTTGCTTTATATGTGTTCTTCCAGTGAAGTTATGACTAGTGTTAACTTTCAGTTTTAAAAGTTTCCTCTATGGACAATAAATTATATAGTTTCCCTAGTTAAAATAAATGGGATGGAAGTTACAACAATAATAAGGAATTTATTTTATTTTATTGCTAATCAGATTAGCAAACATTAAAAAGATTTATAACATTCATTCCTGGAAAGATACATAATATTCATATAGTAGAACAGGAATATTGGTGTAAGATAACTGGTACCCTCTTTTGGGGTTTAAAATTTAGCAATATCTATTAAAGTTTTAAGTGTGCATATCATTTGGTCTAGCTATTGGACTTCTGGAAATATTGATGCTAATATGCAGGCACATGTACAGAAAAAATTGTTGAATAGGCTATTGATTAAATAAATAAAGGTACACCTTTAAAATGGATATCATGTAGATGTTTAAAATGATGAGGTAGCTGTATATATATCAGTTTGGAAAGTTTTGCATAATATATGATGAGAAAAATAATATGCAGAATGGTATTATAATTTTAATTGACATTTGGTAAAACACACACATAATGTTATTGTATGCTTAGAAAAAAGTTTGAAGATATACATGCCAAACTTAACATTTATCATCTTGAAGGTTCAGGTAAACACAAGCTGAAATGAAAAAATTCAATAAAGTTTTTGTTAAATGTTAGGGAAAAAATAATTTTTGGAAAAACACACTGTATTTAACAATAATCCTGAGACAATATATGTGCTGGTAGGAAACAGAAAAATCTGTTTTTGGCTTGTTAGCAGACATCAGAGAATAATCCCTTGGTTCTATTAGAGCCAATATTTCTTCTGGATGGAAACATGATCTTTTTTCTTGGTCAGAAAACTTAATTACTATGTAAAAGACTTTTGAGTTCTGAAGAGATGGGAACAGTAGACCTCAACCTATGTAGTTACTATTTTTAATTTCGGTAAGAATATACACTCTAGAATCTTAAGGCAGTAAGGGTCCATATGACAACCTTAAAATTTTTTCAGTCATGAAAGAAAGTCTTATGTGTTTTTCCAAGGAATATATGCTTTGCATCTTATACATAATAATCCAGAGAAGGGAAAAATAAAGCTATCCAACAACTATTTTGAGGAATATATAAACATAATACCATACCATTCAAGGACATGTAAAAATTATTGTAGGTCAAAGGTCAGAAAACTTAATTACTATGTAAAAGACTTTTGAGTTCTGAAGAGATGGGAACAGTAGACCTCAACCTATGTAGTTACTATTTTTAATTTCGGTAAGAATATACACTCTAGAATCTTAAGGCAGTAAGGGTCCATATGACAACCTTAAAATTTTTTTCAGTCATGAAAGAAAGTCTTATGTGTTTTTCCAAGGAATATATGCTTTGCATCTTATACATAATAATCCAGAGAAGGGAAAAATAAAGCTATCCAACAACTATTTTGAGGAATATATAAACATAATACCATACCATTCAAGGACATGTAAAAATTATTGTAGGTCAATCTCCTAGATGAGTGTGCACAAACAATAAAAACATTGCCAAATAAAATATCAGCAAGTAAAATCAATCAGTAAATTAAAAATGACAGAAACAAGAATAAAAGAACTTCAAATCTATAAGAAAACTAAACTACTCAGTGATAAATTGGGTAAATATGTTCATGTGGAATTCCCAGAAAATAAAATGCAAAAGAACAAAAATCATATAAAGGACACTAAAATACATAATGACCATGAACATGATAACTAATTACAATAAAATGATATTCATACTGTCACACCGAAGACAATAAAAACTTTTTAGAAAACAAACTATTGGTGAGAATGTGAGGAAAGATCTGTGGGAATGTGAACTGCTAAAATTATATTGGAGAACAATTTAGGATATATTCAGTAAAGGTACACATAATCTTCAACAAAGAAATTCTACAGCCAGATAAATATGCCAGAGATTCTTTAGGGTATGAATTTATCAATGCCCTCATTTTACAGGTAAAGAAACTAAATCTTGGCTTCTTTTGCCATTAATCAGTTATGTGCCTGGTACCTATCAAGCCATCTATTAAGTATGTCTATGATTATCATTATCATCATCATCATGAATAATCAGCTATAGCAAAATTTCATGAATCTATCATACCATCAATTTTGACAAACTATACATTTTAGGTGCTCCATCACTGCATCTCTGGAGGGGATGTCTAAGAGCTGATCTAGATAGCTAAGAGCTGAATTAAAAACCCACCAAGTTTTGACCAGACTATGAAGTTTAGAGGATGTTCCCTCTGCTCCCACCTAGAAACTCAGTCATGCATGCTCCCACAATTAACAGTGTGGCCTTCATTTTTTAAATCAATTTTTCATTTTTTAAAATTGAAGTATCATTGATAAACATTCAAATCTTAAGATGATTTGAAATACACAACACAGTGGTTCAACACTCACCTATATTATCAAGTCCTCACCCCCTCCACTGTGGTCACTGTCTATCAACTTAGACATTTTTAAAATTAAGACATTTTTAAGAGCAGTTTTAGGTTCACAGCAAAACTGAGAGGAAGGTACATTCCCATATGCCCTCTTCCCCCAACACACACACAGTGATCCAACTATCAACATCCCACAACAGAGTGATACATTTGTTACAAATGGTATACCTACACTGACATATCTGTCAACCAGTCCATAGTTTGCATCTGGGTTCACTCTTGGTGGTGTGCATGCTATGGGCCTGGATAAACATGTAGTAATATGTATCAGTCATTATGGTATCATTTAGAGCATTTTCATTACCCTGAAAATCCTCTGTGTTCTGCCTATTCATCACTTTAAGCCCTGTAAGTCCGGGGAACGGAAATCCTGGGGCAAAATACCTCTAAAAACCGAAATCAGTCAAAGGGAGAAATAAAGTTTAAAATCTGTTTATTTCTTACAAACTGCAGTCCGAGGGCTTCTCTCCTTCCTGCTCCAGCAGAAGCAAAACCACCTCTCTGGTACAGATAAGCCCTTGGTTGCCCAGGTAATTATCCATTGATATGGAGATGAACTTCTCTCCATCCCTGAGGAATGATGCAAATGCACTAAAGTCATACTTCTTTCTATCTCTGAATGCCTACTGATATGCAGATGTACTAAAGCCAGGCGAGATATTCTGGAAATATTAAAATTTTACCCACACCACCTCTCCAACCTCTAGCAACCACTGATCTTTTTACTGTCTCCATAGTTTTGCCTATTCCAGAATGTAATATAGTTGGAATCATAAAATACGTAGACTTTTCAGATTGGCTTCTTTCACTTGCATTGAAATTTCCTCTATGTCTTTTCATGGCTTGATAGCTCATTTATTTTTAAGCGCTCAATAAAAACCACAATTTATATATCAATACACCTACTGAAGGACATTTTAGTTGCTTCCAAATTTTGACAATGATGAATAAAGCTGCTATAAACATCTGGGTGTGCAGGTTTTTGTATAGGCATGTTTTCAACTCTTTTGGGTAAGTATCAAGGAGAGCTAATGCTGGATTGTATTTTTAATTTTGTAATGGCTGTACCACTTTGTTCCTGTTGCTCCATATTTGGTGGTGTCAGTGTTTAGGATTTTGGTCATTTTAATAGGTGTGTAGTGGTATGTCACTGTTGTTTTTCTTTTTTTTTTTTTCATTAAGGTATTATTGATATACACTCTTATGAAAGTTTCACATGAAAAAACAATGTGGTTATTACATTCACCCATATTATCATGTCCTCCCCATACCCCATTGCAGTCACTGCCCATCAGTATGTCATTGCTGTTTTTCAATGTGGCCTTTTGAGTAGATGAGGAATCTTTGAACATGCCCAACCCTCCTCCTAGAGGCACAGGGTCCCTGACAATTTCTGGCTTCCCAGGTTCTTGTTTTCGATGCATGCTCAGAGGGGAAGAAGTAAGGAAAGGGTAAGGAAAGCGCTGAAATCCACCTGATGGTAGGCTTAGGGAAGTTACCCCCATTAAGAGGCTGTCTCAGTTGGTACTCTGGGGCCAAACAAAATTCTGCCAGAGCTTCCTAGTACAAGTTAGTAGTGCTACAGGGTGGGTGTGGGGGTGGAGGGGAGAAGGAAAGAGGTGCCCAGATGACAGGCTGCTGGCAAAGGAGGTAGCCATAGGCCAGGAGGACACACTCCTGTAGCTCGTGGAAAGGCTTCGGCCCTGGATTTTTTGTTAAACGGTTTCACTGGAGTGATCGCTTCTCGCAGATCCTCAGAGTCCTGAGAAGTTTCCTTAAAGTGGAGAGATATGAGATAAGGTTGGTTGGGGCAGATGTGAAAGTAAGGCATGGCTAGCAGGAGAAAAAGGAGCAAAAAACGAGCCTAAAAGGAAATGCGATTGTGATGAGTTTAGTAAAGTTGATTTGGTGTGTTAAATGGCGTTTCAGGAGAAATCTGAAAGGTACTGGTTTACAGCAGGTGCCAAAGAGGTCCTCGGGCGCAGGGAACTTCCTCAAGGGATCAAAATGGATACAATGCTACCTCTCGCCAAAAAACACTTTAAAATCCCGTTGGCTAGTCTTCCGCGTGCTCAAGGCCTCCATACCGCAAAGCCTGGGACGCGGCCTCTCTGCTGGCTCAAAAACGCGGAGAAAGGAAATCCAGTCGGTCCGCGGAGCGGCCGGCCGTGGGCTCCGGCCAGCCGGCATACCGGGCATGCGCGGGGGGTGGACCGCCGGTCTGCCTAGGGAGCCGTGACGAGTCCGGAAGCGCCTGCGCGCGCCCCTCCGCTCGGGAACTAGTTTTGTTCCGCGTTCTTCAGAGAGGATCGCCTCGGAGAGACCCCCGGAAGGGCCTGCCCGACGCCCTCCAGCACCGCAGCAATGTCCAGCACCAGCTTCACCTACAATGAGCAGTCCGGAGGAGGGGAGGCGACGGAGCTGGGTCAGGAGGCGACCTCAACCATTTCCCCCTCGGGCGCCTTCGGCCTCTTCAGCAGCGACTTGAAGAAGTGAGGAGAAAGGTTTGGTGGTGGGAGTTGGGGAGTTTGGGGTGAGCGTGTGTAGGGGGTTTCTAGTAGTTTGAAAACCAGTGAAAAAGAACTACTGGAGAGCTAAAGTTCCATCCCCAGAGGCTCTGATTGAATTGGTCCCGGCTGGGGCCCAGGAATATGAAATTTGAACAAATACTTATAGTTCATTGAGTGTTTGCTGGATCAAACGAAGAAATTAGCATATTAGGGTGCAACGAGCTACCGGTTTGTTGAGGGAAAATTAGAGTGTTGAGTGTTGCTTATGAGAAACTATTTTGTGACCCTGGGGTGTAGGACTTTGGAGATGTTGTAGGCGCTGTGAGTGGACAAGCTGGTTTTACAAACGTGACTGTTCTTGGACAATATCCTTTGCACTACAGACAAAAAAAAACCCCAATCTGAAACACAGTACTAAGCACATGACTAGAGAATATTTGGAGTGTTTATTTGGAGTGTTTATTTGGTGTTATATTAGACTTAAAATATTTTACCAATTAAGGATGTGAATTTTAAAAACAAACACTGAGCAGTATAAACATTCACTTTTGTAGACGTTAGTAAGAATACCACTGAAAAGGAAAGAACACATCCTCCAATTTTTTTCAAGTGGGAGGGGTTTTAAACTGACAGGATCATGGTAACTTTATATTTTATTGCCATCATTTTAACATTTTAAAAATTTTAATCTCTCAGTACTAAATACTGTGGTTGCATATTGGCTGTCACTAGATTCCTGCTAAATTAAGGTAAAGTAGCTGTACTGGTGGTTCTGCAAGTGTCAGAAGGGTGTAATTAAAATTTAATTTAAATTATACTAACAAGATTCCGCGGTCTGGAAATATGCTGGTAGTTGAAATTAGGATTAAATTTGGCTCCAATAAACTGACTGAAATCTTATATACATGTGGAATATGGTTTTGTTTTTTCCTTATTCTCAGGTTAGGAAAAGTTTACAAGTAAGAAAACTGATTTCTCTTCATTTTTCATTCTGTGTATTTAGCTGATGGGTGGGTCTAACAAGGAACTTGTTGCAGCTCTGCAGTTCTGTTAGCAAAATATTTCAGTTGTTGAATTAACCTATAAGTCTGCATTGTTCTGTTTTAAATGTGATATGCTTACAGTTAATTGACTTTTATGGTTTATGAACATTAGAGAGTCTGATTTCCTATTTTGTCAGATTTGGGCCTGATTTGGAAAAAGCTGTATGGCTTTGATAATGGCCAGTGCTGTTGAGGTGACTGAGCAGGTTGGATTTGCAATAAAAATAGCTACAATTTATTGACTACTTGTGCATTTGCACATACTACTTTACATTTATTATCTCATTCAGTCCTCTTAACAGATATCTGGCTTGTTACCAGATACTTCTCTGATCCCATTTTGCAGCTGAGGAAATTGAAGCACAAGTGGTTAACTTGCCTGAGATCACAAAATTAAAACATTGCCCTGCCTGCATTTGAGCACAGACATTTTAATCTTACAGCCTATTCTCTCAAGAGGTTGGATTTGCTTAAGTTCTTAATGAAATTTATGGTGCTTTTATTAGAGAATGCATACAACTTATTAAAATTTTAAAACTTTGAGTAGTGTGTGACCTTGCAGCTTCCAGAAATTAGAAACATTTTGGCCATTAAACTAAGGCTGTTGTACAGAAACAAGGAGACTCCTGTTCTGGAAGTGGTCATCTGATCTCTGTTGAGCCTATGTTCTTTCCTTTATAAAACGGTGATGTTTCTTGCCTTTTCTCTTTTTAAACCAGATTATAAAATCTGTAAAAAATTTAAAGTTTACCCTGTTTCAGACCTCTTGTTGTGTTTTTAGAGCAGGAAATCTGCTCTATTTTTTTATTGGGGTATAACTGACATGGAACATTACATTAATTTCAGGTGTACAGTATATTTGATATTTGTATATTTCATGAAATAATAATCACAATAAGTCAGCATGTGTCACTATACATAGTTATAATGTTTTTCTCTTTTCATAAGGACCTAAGATTTATTCTCTGAGCAACTTCCAAATATACAATAGTGTTATTAACTATAGTCACCATGCTGTACATTACATACCCATGAGTTACTCACTCTATAACTGAAAGTTTGTACCTGTTGACCTACTTCAGCCATTTAGCCCACCACTCTGCTCTAATATTTGATGTTTGAATTATTTCAGGTTGTCAAGAAAGTTGCTGGAATGGTACAGAAAACTACCCTTTATGCAGATTTACCATTAAAAAATTTTTTGCTACATTGCTTTATTTCTCTCTCTTTCTCCATACACACATGGACACATATACACGTTCATATTATTGTTTTCTGATCCATTAGAGAATAACTTGTATACATCATCTTTACTTTTACCTTGCTTCATATTTTTAAGAACAAGGTTATTCTCTTACATCACTACAGTACCATTACATTCAGGAAATTTACAGCAGTACAACATCAGTTCAGTCTATGGTTTCTAATCCAGTGTTGTCATTTGTCCCAGTAAATAATTATTTTGCTAACAGAACTGCACTGTACTTTTACTTTTGAAATTTTTTCCCTCTAGTACAGGATCCAGTCCAGGATCATGTATTTCATTTAGTTGTCATCTCTCTTCAATTTCCTTTAATGTGGAATAGTTCCTTAGCCATTGTCTTTCACTACCTTGACATGCTTCAAGAATACAAATCAGTTATTTTATAGCATGTTAATCAATTTAGGCTTGTGGTGTTTACTCATGTTTAGATTCATGTTCTTTATCTCTGGTCAGAATACTACTATAGATGATGTAGCTTTTTCAGACTCTTGAATCAGGAGGCATAGGTTGCCCATCTTCATGATGTTAATTTTTCTAATCAAAGTGTTGTACATTATTTTTGTATCTATTTGTGTCTGTTATTGTTCAGGAATGTATCTATGGGAAGACACTTTGAGACCGTGCAGATGTCTTGTTTCTCATTAAGTTCATCATCCTGTGTATTTAGCAACCAATGATGAATCTCCTGAACCAGTCTTTACCATAGTCGCTGCAAAAGAGTGATGTTCCAGCTCTGACTCCTTCCATTATTCTGCTCTTTAGCCTTTTGTCCTTAAGTTCTGTGTCCTTTGATCCTTCACTAGTCATCTCAAGGATGCCTCATCACTTCCTAGTCACAGGATTATTGATAACTTGCTTTCTGAAATTAGTCTTATTTGTCAATTTTATTACCTCCTTTAAACAAAACCAGGATTAAGGAATTTCAGGTGGTATTATGAAAACAGATAATACATCACTTATTGGTTAATCAAGCCTGTGTAATAGATTATTTGCTTCAAGGTTTTCAATTTCTTCTTTTAAAAGGTTAATTTTTTTTTTGTATTCCTTTCTTTCGAGATTGTTATAAACTTTTACTGCTTTTAGTTTTTTTCCTAAATTATTTTCCGTCTTTGTCTTAAAAGAAACCCTTTTTTATCCTAACCAGCTTGGCTATATGTGTAGAATTAAAAAAATAATTTTAATAACTTTACTTCTGGATTAAACAATTAGGAGTAAAAATTTCTGGAAACTAATTTTTCTTAATATTAAAACTACTAAATTTTTTAATCTCTTTCCTATTGAGAATATCAGGGTGTATTAGAAAGAGCCCTGAACTTAGAGTGAGAGACCTAGATTTACATTTAGTATTTTCCACTTGTAGTAATGTTTCTTTGTTCAGGTTGCTTGATCTCTTCAAACTTCAGTGTCCTCATTTCTAGAAAGGGTATGATAATACTTGCCTATTTTGTGAGCTTCTCATAAGATGGTATAGTTGAAAGTGATTTCTAAACTAGAATATTAACTAACTATTTGGAAAAGTTGGTGACATTTTAGGTCTTAAAGCCTGAGAAGGCTTTAACCAAGTGGAGGAAAGGGAGTTCTTCTGGCAAAATATGTCGAAAGCAGAATTGCAGAAGAAAATAAATGTTCAGGTGAGATGTAGATTTGGGCATCAAAATTGTAGGTAGTAATTAAAGCATGAGAATGGATGACATCACCTGGGGAGAACTGGTTGGAAGAGAAAAGTTCTAACATTGAAGATGTGAATGGAAGAACTAGGGAAAGAGATGGTGCTCAGAGGGGTAGGAAACCAGAGGAAGGTTAAAAACGAAACATAACGGAAGCTGAGAGGAAAGTAAGAGGAAATGGTCAACTGTGTTAGGAGCTGCATAGTGAGAATAGAATGAAGGCTGAAAAGAGTTTAACTATAAAAGGTGACCTGAGCAACCAGTACCTCAGCAATGCAGTACCTCCTAAACACATTTAAATATAGCATTTTCAGTCCCTACTGAAAATGGGGTGGGCTTTTCAATTACTTAGATTCACAGAGCTGATTTAAACTGAAAGGCTACATTCCCTGTAGTCCTACATCATGTAGTATGATGTAGTTAATACCACAGCAGTGTATTTGCATTGCATTAATAAAGCCTAGCTTATTTTTTTAACTTACTTTTTTTTGTCAACTTTACAACATTAGCCATGAAATTATATTACATATGACCTTTTAACCTTTAATATCAGTGTTTCACAGTGGAGTCCACCAGGAAGATTACAGGAGCCTGTGATTTGTGTGCAATTACAGCAAATCCAACTATTTCTGCCACTTTTTCTCACTTTATTAAAAATAAGACACACCAGTCTTGGATGTCAGTACTTTAATAGTAACATGTTATTTTGGACATTCCTCAAAAAGTCACTGTGTTTCAATATGAGGTTCTAAACTTTTTTGTGTGATTGTTTCCATTTTTTGTTTATAATATTTAAATTTAATTAGGGTCTATAGAATATATGTATTACTTAAAAAAATTTTCTTGCCTTTTTTTATTGGAGTGTATTGTTGATATACAATCTTATATTGGTTTCAAATGTACAAGGCAGTGGTTCAACAGTTAACCATATTATTAAATCCTCACCCCCTCTAGGGAGGTTACTATCTGTCAACGTAGAAAGATGTTACAGAATCATTGACTATGTTC